GGTATCTGAATAATCTCACCCTTAGGACTCTTTGCCTTGCTGAGGGACTAATTGTTAATGACCTTGGGACTGGTAATATGATTGGGAGGGGCAAATTAATCTTTCAACTATGAAAAGGCTAATGGCTAGAAGAGCCGGGGGGTGCCTAATGGCTAGAAGAGCCAGGGGGTGCAATGCAGTGAATTGCTTGATGTGGCCCTTCTAGCCATTGTCCTCTATTCTGTGGTGTTTTGTAAATCCCATTATCCATGCCTGTTTGGGGTGCTGTGGTAGTTAAGGTCAGGTATCAACTTGGCTGGGTAGCTGGTAGTAGTCATTCCCTATAATGACTGGCAATCGACTCTGTAATGGGATTTAGGTTAATTCTGTTGGGGCAACACAGGTGGAATGTATCTTGAGTCCTGCCTTGCTGGAGGGTATAATTCAAATCACCACCCTTAGCTTCCCTGAGGGTATACCGAATCTCCTGGGAAGATTCTCTCTCCTCTTGTTCCGGTTTTGTTTCCTGGATCATCCTCATCTCACCCCTGGATTTGGGACAGCAGCTGTCATCTGATCTGATCGAGGTTTGTCAAACCCCGAGAGTTGGGAGGATCCGCCAGACCTACTCACGGACCTGGGACTCGCCAGCCTGCCAGCCTCCACCACCACTACGTGAGACGAACCCTTGGGTGTCTGTGAGTTCTGTGAGGCGTTACAGCGAAATTCAGAACCCTAAGACTGGGGAAATTACTGGGAGGAGGAGGAGGGGTTGATGTCTGAAATGATGGAGTGGCATGGTAGTTTGGACATTTGGGACATCTTTGACCTCCACCTCATGGGGAGCTGATCTTTCTAAGAGAAATTGTTCAAGCAACTACAGAAGCAAATTGCCCAACCTTCCTTCCGAAGAGTGGCTAGAGGGTTTGAACCCACTAAGCCTTCTGGTTAGCAGTCAAATGCCTTAGGCACTATGCTACCAGAGCTCCCATATATAGAGTTAGGTGCTATTAATGTTATTATTTTGGTGAAAAATCTTCACAAAAGCAATCTAAAACCATTTTTCAAGCTTCAAAAAGAATGTTCATTTCATTAGAGAGGTTACTTAAGTTCAAAGAATTTCCACTTTTATAAAAACAAGAATAGCATTAAGATATACAATACACAGGCTTACATACCTGTTTGAAACACAAGTTCTTTCCCTCCTACACCTGCTGCCTCCAGGTTAATAAATGCACGAATCAAACTGGCCCAGGAGTGCTGAGTAATGAAACCATGGCTGGCCTAATTAAGAAGGAAAGGAAAGAAATACAGGTTAAACCGTCTTAAATTATCAGTCCCTATTTTGCTTATTTTAAGGACAGATCAGCTCTCTTGACGACGTGGAGAATAAGAAAACGAAATAACCACTCCCCCCAAAAAAAAAGCAGTGTCTAAAGATATATTCTGTTTCTATATGCAGAATGGCTATGTGCAGTATGCTGAGTGGAAAGTCACCATGAGTGGCGCCAAACAATGTTCTTGGTGTGAAGCTATGTGAAAGAAAGGGCAAAAGAGAGCAAGAGAAGAAAAAACACAAGGGAAGATTCATATGGCTGGGCATTCAAGCTGTAAGCTTGCCTCAAATCATCTCAAACTTGAGCTTCAAAAAAACCGAGATGAGTAATTATGTCATCAGAAAGCCCTTTTATAAACCAAACATTGCCAAGACTATCAGTTCTGAGTTGAGATTTTCAAATATTGAACATACCTATGTAAGCAGCTATGGATTTTTTAAAGTACAGCCAAGTACAATATGTCTTTTGCATTATCACTGTAGGATGCTACTCAAATGACTAATCAAAATGCATCAGTATTAGCTATTATTAGTACTATTATCACTCTCATTATCGTTATTATTCAAGCCTCGTATTTAAACCAGTAAATTCTCACTTGCAAGACGTTTTCCTCAGCACCATTAAAGAGGAATATGACAGCATGATGAAGGGCTTCAGAAGATGTTGACAAGACACGGAGGACTTCCAGCATCACTGAACAGCTGACAGCATCGTCACTGGCACCTTTAAATTACAAAAACAGATTTGCTGCTCAGATTTTAAAGCCTTTACAGTGTGAACCCTCATGGCTAGGAATTGTATCTTCTGCATTACCACATCAGCTGAAAAACTACCAACAGTAAGCTCTGAGAGCAAAGAGGTCTTTATCTGCTTTGCCTGTTGATATATTCTTAATGCCTAGAATTATGCCTGGCCCATGGTACTCACTTAGTTAATATTTGCGCAATACATCAACCAGGTGGCACCTAAAATAGTACCGAAAACTGACGTTCTCTGCAACCCAAGACAATGTGCCCCTTTCCTGATCCTTATTCTACATCCTCTATAATTTTCTCACTTTGTGTTCACAGCTTCCTATTGCTGCCATTGTCTCCTCCATTCCTGCTTGTTTTCCTGCCAACATCATAAAAGCTGCAGATCATTCTGTATCTACAGAGTTTGGATAGCATAGTGTTTTTTAAGGTTTCATCTAGATCATGTGATTAAAAAGTACAAAGAAAAGAAAAGACCTAATCTAGTTAGACACAGGGAAGGGGAAAATGGCCTAAGCAGTAACCCTGGTCCCAGCAGTGATAAGGTAGAGGAGTTAGTCATATCACTTCACCTTTCCTTGATTTCAGAAACTTCATACACTGAAAGTGATTGTAAAGATGACTGTAGTACCTTGATTTTTAAAAGCACTATGTTGCTGTTGTTGTTGTTGTTATGTGCCTTTGAGTCAGACCTGACTCACAGCGACCCCTCCTTGGGTTTCCGAGGCAGTATCTCTATGGAAGTAGATTGCCCAACCTTCCTTCCAAGGAGTGGCTGGTGGGTTTGAACCGCCAGCCTTCTGGTTAGCAGTCAAATGCTTTAGGCACTGTGCTACCAGAGCTCCCAAAAGTACTAAAAGAGGGAGTTAAAGGAAATGACAGGATATTTGATGCTATTGAAGAAGTACTATTAGGTTTTTTAGGTGAGATTAATGGTAATATGAGCATGTCAAGAAAAAGCGTCCTTATCTTTGAGCTCTATAAACTGAAATATTTATAGAAGAACAGATATAGCTGAGATTTGCTTGAAAATAATCAAAGGGCAGAGGGGGTGAAGTAGAAAAGAAACATGATCAGACATCAGTTGGTAACTACTGAAGCTAGGTGAGAGGTACATTAAAGTTCTTTAAACAATCATCTCTGCTTTTGTACATATGTAACATTTTCCATAATAAAAAGTGTAGAGTCATCAAAGTAAACAAGCCCAGTAATAGCCTAGGCAATAGCAGTTCTGAGTACACACTTGGAGACACTGAATTTAGTGTGGGCCCTCAAGTAAAAAAGACTTGAAGTAAATTCTAGTTCTATCACTTTAATGTTCTGACACACTTCTAGACATTTCCTGATCTAGAAGGCAGGCCCACAGTATCAACCTCACAGGTCTGTTGTGAGGACTGCACAAGAGAACATACAGATGTGGTCCTTTCTCCTTCCCCCTAAAAACCTAAGGAAGGCTCTATAGCCAGTTAAATGCTTGCTTGGGCTATTCAATTCCAGACTTGTCTTTGTTGCGATTAGTGGATTAAATTTTAATCAACATGAAACAAAATAATACTTTTCTAATTACTATCAAACAGGAAGTATGCATACCTAAGAGTAAAAACTGTCACCTTCCAGAAACCAAATTTTTGTTTTGCTTTGTTTTCCTTTGAGACCATGACTTTAAAATAAAAAGCAAATTCTAATATTTTTCTGTTAAAGAAAATGTTATAAATTAAGGGCAAGACACAAGGAAAAATTAAAGGTATAGATCTATATAAACAAGATTAAAAAGTTAAACTATCCATTTCTCTTTCCTTATCTTAATGGGTCTGGTGTCTTAGAAACAGATACAGAAGGAACGTTAGAGGACAGTATCTATAAGGGATGAGTGACTAACTGACATCCTTTCCAATGAGAATTAACCCAGAAATTGAATTCACTCCCAAAATAATGCAAAGTCTCTTCTACCAACAACCTGGAACCACATAGCCAAGCAAGGAAGACATTTAAGGCTTTTCTTTGGGTAACACTACTTCTAACTGGTATCAGTTCCTAGAGTTCTGGATACTTTGCTGAGAACTTCAAAAAAAAGCCTCAAATTTCAATTAGCTCATCTACTAAAAGGTGATAGTACACATCTGATGAATGTGTGAGACTCTGTTTTTAACAATTTATTATTATCAGGAATTTCCTTGGCATTGTTGATATGGTTTATTCTAACAAAATTTTAGTTTGTTAAAAATGAGCTCAAATGGCACATAAAAATGTCATCCTTTAATTTTCAGACTTCATATACGCAATGTGCAAGATTTCGCATTGTTTTTTTCTGATGTGTGTAGACACATCTTTCTTCTATAATGCTCTTAAGTAACAGTGGTGTTTGTCTCTTCCCAGAAATTAAACGGTGACACTTAATTCATTGCTACTTTGAAAAGACTACCAGTTTCCCCAGCACACATGAAGGTATTTCTGACTTATGGGTGTATACAATGATTTTTGAAAAAGCAAGTTACATTATAAAGACAACTGGCAAGCTTCTTAATTAAAGATATCTTATTATGCATCATTTTGTCAAATAAAAAATGTTCCTGTACATTTTATATGAATTCAGATGTTCATATTGAGCTTGCTTTAAGTCCAAATAATTCAGAAGTATTAATATTAAATAAAAGTTAATAGTAAACTATGTATATGTGTATGATTTTTGGCACCAGGCACTGTTCTAGTTTTAATCCTCATTTACTCCTCAAAGCCAGGATTATCCCCATTTTATAGATGAGAAACTCAGGTTAAGTTAATTTGCCTAAGGGAGCATACCCTCTAACAACTACACCCTAAAACTCTGTCCTTTCAAATGTAGCTAAAAGACTGACTGGCCGGAAACCCAGTATCTGGTTCCAGTTCTGTCTCTGATCAGTGGTAATCAGCAAAGTTTACTTCTGGGTCAAATGAGAGGGCTGAACCAGATACCATCTCAGGGCTTGCAGTGTTCTAAAATGCTGCATAATTCCACTATTGTCTACTCTCCTCTATTAGCAATCTCTTTAACTACTGAGAACATTTTTCTGAGAAGCAAGTATTTATTTTGTCAGGTACTGTCCTAAGCATTAAGTCTTCTATTTAGCCAAAGTATTTTCAAAGTAAATGAGGTATTCTAACAGTATGGCAACCCCAATGGACCAAAATTCTCACTTTACAGGTCAACAGAAACTGTCAGGAGAGATACCCATTTCTTGAGGGTAATGATTATCTTTTCTCTTGTTATCCATAAAGTACCACCTATCCGAGAAAGCACGTGAAGTGGCAGCACCTAATGCAGGTCACAAGAATATACACTGTCAGCTAACACTGATAAGGCTGTTTCACTCTGCCAAACAACAGGCTGCTGGTGCTAATGTTTTAAAAATAATAATAATAAAAAATTAAAGCACTTGAGAGAGTACTGCAAGGTTAGGTCCTAAACTAATTGATAGTATTTTAGCTACCTTGCCTGTCAACAAGATAAAAAGAAAACTGTCTAATAAAATGGTACCCCCCAACTAACATGGGTGTTAAAACTCTCTGGGCTGTAATGATTTCAAAATGATGAAAGCAATGGGTGCATACCTGGTGAATTTGGCACTGAGTCAAAATGACAGTTCGCCAGGACAGCATGCTGGGCTCCCCCTCTGGGTTCCAGCTTCACCACAACGTTGGTGATGTTGTCATAATAGCTTGTGAAACCTCCCAAGAAGTCGATGCTAAAGGAGCCTGTGGGCCTTTGCACATCCACTGCAATCTTGTGGATGCTATTGCTTTGATCTTCAATCAGCTTAATCTGCTCCAAAAGATAGCGCACTGTCAGAACTTCATTCTCGGGACTTCCTGTAGTCCTGGGACCAATGGATGTTATATGTTCAAGATAATCCCTGAGTGTGACCAGAAGAAAGATGATAGGCTTAGCTAAGCTTAAAACGAACATCTAGCACAGAGTAACTTTTTTCCTGTGCTCTCCCCTCCCGCTAGAAAAGTGTATCCTTCTGACTTCTCATATATTAAAAAATTGGGGAGGGGCACCCAAACCTGTTGTCAACAAGTTGATTCTGACTTATGGTGACCCCATGTGTTAGAGCAGAACTGCTTCATAGGGTTTTCCTTACCGGACAATCTACTTCCATAAAGATTTACCACCTCGGAAACCCTACGGGGGTCACTATGAGTTGGAATCAACTTGATGGCAGTGAGTTTGGTTTGGTTTGTCCTTGTCACCGAAGCAGATCATCAAACTCTTTCTTCTATGGTACTGTGGAATTGTGCCACACAGAAATCTTCATACATATGAAGGCTGCCTTTTATTATGCCAGGCAACCTGTGAAAACTACCTTTCATTGTGTCTCCCAGAAAATGAAGCCTTCAGAGTTTTCTCTACCCACCTACTTTCAACATATCCCAGTCACCAAATCAAACCAATACAAAAACTAAAGATGGTATTCAAAATTTGTGACTGCTGAAGGCTAGACAGGTCAGAATACAATTACATTATGCTGCATGCAAGAAGGTTATTGATTCACTAATTCTTTGTATCGCATGTATCCCTAGCAAAAGACAATGAGCACAACATAATTAAGAGATTAAATACAGAAAGAAAAACTTCTGATTGTAAAACTAACCCAGTCCCTGCTGTGTGCACACAAGTCCTAAAAACTTTAATTCAAGCCAAAAAGAACTCTACTCCAAATGCAAACAAACACTTTTTGTTTCGTGGTCCCGTCCACCGTCCCCCACCCCCCCAGTCTTTTCACTGCATTCCAAGTGGGTAAAAAAAAGGGAGAAAGGCTATGTTCCATAAAGTCCTGAAGAAAATAAACTTTCGGCACTTTGTATTCAAAGGGAAACTTTAAAAATTGCAATGGCTGTTGAAGTAAATTTTCTGCTATATAACTGTAAGCTTATAATTGTAAAAGCTTTGCGACACTCAGGTTACAGTATCTGTAGCTTAATCACCTTTCCTAACATACTTAAAACCACCAGCCACTCCTCAGAAGGAAGATTGGGCAATCTACTTCTGTAATGATACCGCCTCGGAAACCCAAGGAGGGGTCGCTAGGAGTCGGGGCCAACTCGTCGGCACATAACAACATACTTAAAAGATTTTATCTCTTTTTTTCCTAATAAAAAGTCAAACCTTTCACAGCTACTAACCCAGAGACAAAGGACAAACTTGAGGGATCTAAGAACTTCTGAAAATGTGTGCAAATTTTGAGTTGGAGGTCCTCCAGAGAAATGGCACAACATCACATTTGGCTGAGACAGTCAAAAAAAATTAAAGACTACTGAACTGTATCTCCTTCCAACAACTCCCAAAAGCAAATTCATAAAAGTCTAGGTATACAAATATCACTCTCTTTCAATCTATTTGGAAAGCATGAGACCTCGCCAAGGTAAAAACTGGACGTTACTCCCGAAAATGGGAGGACGCTCAATACCCAGCCATCCGCAGACATGGCAGAAGGGATGGAGAAGCAGGCACGCACAACCCATCCCGCTACCCTCAATCCGCACGAGTTAACAGGGGGCCACTCAAGCCCCACGTCTAGGTAGTTGGGGATCCGCAGAGAGACGTGCAGGGCCACTCCACCCCACGTGAGACCAGGCAGCCCTCGAGCCCCAGCGGTGGCGCAAGGCACTGCACAGTGCGGCGCGAGCAAGGCCGGGCGGGCCAGTACCTGGCTTGGCGCGCGTCGAACTCCTCGTGACTCCCCAAGGCTCCGCACAGCATGAGCTGCTGCAGCGAGAGCTGCACAAGCGCCCGCAGCGCGAGCAGATAGAGCGCGAGCCCCAGCGCGGCGCGCGCCTCGGACAACCCAGTCCCCGCGCCGCCGCCGGGGCTCCGCTTCCGCGTCCTCGCGCCGCCGCCGCCGCCCGTGGCCACCTGGGGCCCCGGCGTCGGGGCCTCCCTCTCAGGCTGCAGCGCTGCCGCCGCCGGGTCCTCCCGACGCTCGGCTCCAACGCGGTGCCGCCTCACGGCCGCCGACTCCAAACCCCACTCCATGGCCATGAGCCTCTGCCGCTGCCGGCCAACCGCCCGGCCCGCGACAGCGCGGAGCCGCTGGCTGCCGAGCGCCTCCTAGTGAACGGACGGCGCCTGCAAAGGGCCAAACTTGTTCTGATTGGCCGGCCGCGCGCCGCGCCGTCCTCCCTGAGGAGAGCAGGGCTGGGCACCGGCGGGGAGGGGTGCGTTAAAAGCCTCCTTTCTAGGCTTCCCTACCGGGTGTGGGTGGATATCTTCTAATAGGAAACATGCAGCCTGAACAAAGAGAAAAGTGAAAGAACACTTTAAAAGGAATGCTCAAGGCTTTTATGGTACAACACGCACAAGAATCAGTCAATGGCCGGGCTTACGTACCAAGCTCTTAAAAAAGTAGGCACCTGGCTCTAAAAATGGTCCAGCGGCATGCTTTCACACCCATTATCTGGAATCTTAAAAATCCTGTGAGGTAACCAGCGCTTTTGTCTCCATTTTACAGATGATGAAAAACTAATGTTGTTATTGTTAGGTGCCTTCCATTCGTTTCTGACTCATAGTGACCCTATGTACAACAGAACAAAAAACTGCCTGGTGTGCCAATCTCACAATCCTTGCTATACCTGAGCCCATAGTTGCAGCCTCTGTGTCAATCCATCTCGTTGAAGGCATTCCCCTTTTTCCTTGACCCTCTACTTTACTAAGCATGATATCCTTCTCCAGGGAATGGTCCCTTCTGACAACATGACCAAAGTAGGTGAGATAAAATCTGGCCATTCTGGCTTCCAAGGAGGAGAATGGCTGCACTTCTTGGAGGACAAATTTGTTAGTTCTTTTGCCAGTCCATGGTACTTTCAGTGTTCTTCACCAAACCACAAGTCAAAAGCATGGATTCTTCTTCAGTCTTCCTTATTCATCATTGTCCAGCATATGTCACATGCATATGGGGCTATTGAAAATACCACTTGACCAGGAGGCTGTCGTTCGAACAGAACAAGGGGACACTACATGGTTTAAAATCAAGAAGGGAGTGCGTCAGGGTTGTATTCTGTCTCCACACTTATTCAATCTATATGCTGAGCAAATAATCCGAGAAGCTGGACTATATGAAGAAAAACATGGT